ATATTCACTGTACTTTTCCAGGTCAGGAAGTTGCAATAACTCCCTGGCACTTCCAGGTTTTTCCATGACCGTGAGAACCCTTCTCATCCATAAACTGATGAAATGATTGTCACGCTCTGACTTGGAGCTGTAAGTGAGCCAAGACGGTCGACAAGAGACCAAAAAATAAATTAGAAGGGGGGGAAACGGTGGACAAAAGGGCGATGATTGTCTTTCCAATCTCTAAGCGTACAGTTGTAGTGCTGGGCTGAGTGACACATGCACAATGAGAGCGAGTGGGCTGCCATTTGGCCCGGAGGGAACTGTCAGTGTTTAGGGACTCCAGAGTGCAGATAGCTTTTAAATGGCAACCTGTCAAACAAAACATACACGACAATGCACACCTCAAGCAGCACAGAGACAAAATAACACGTTAAAAATGGCAGTCAAAACATTCAGGTTAAACGTGGAGACTTCATTTTTCAAAGCCTTGGAGCTTTCCGAGGCTCCTGGGGTACATTTTACTCTCATCAAAACCAATCTCTGCTCCCAAACGCCCACCGGTTTGAACACACTTTCTGATTAAAGCCTGCTACTTGTCAAGTTTTTATTTATTTATTTATTTTTGTTGGAAGACGGGTGGGCGCAGTTTCCTCCGGCGATGTTCACAGACTGTCTCTCTCGATGCTGCAGAATGTTTTCTTTCATCCTGCTTTGAAGCGTGTTAAAGCAGCCTGATGTTATTTGCTGTCAGCACATCCAAATGCCACTTTAGCGCAATCAGTGTGCCCAACAAGCCATGATAGGAGCCAGGCAATCAATCTCTGTATGTTCTGACAGTTACACAGACTGAAGCAAGTTTACAGCAGGGATGGCACAGTGTTTTCGAATGCTGAGCAAGCCTGGCAGTACATGCTGTAGAAAAGTGTCAGAATTCTGCTAATTCTGCTGTTTCTGCTAACCAATCAAGAAACAGTCAACCTTTGCTTTGGCGGGCTGTTATTGGACGCACACATTCTTACCTTCCACATACTGGCCTCTTTGCCGTAAACCACTGCCATGTTGTTGACTTTGTCCCTCTGTATCATCAATCTTTCAGTCTTGTTTAGTTCCTCCGTCACAAAACCCATGAAAGAGTTATCAGGAGTGTGTGCTGCAGAAAAAAAAAACAACCAAAAACAGAATATTTCTAATTACATAAATACAGTTCTTTACGAGATCATCGCAATGACACCATTACATTCATTTTGAATGTTGCAAAGAGAAGCAGTGGACAGAATTATTTCATGAATGCTCATAAAATGTAAGTTTGATTGCTGAATGTAAGGTAGTAAACCTTAAGGTAGTATATATTGACTGTCATACGCGGAAGTCGTTCCGGCGGATGATGTAAGACGTCGATGTTGCGTGATTAGTGACGAACGCGGAGACAAAACGAAACGAAACAAAACGCTGGTCACGAATTAGAAGCACAAAATGAGGATTTGTAAAGTAAAATGTTGGAGGATTTCGATATAAGCCAAGAGGAGAGTGGTTTTCCTTTGCTAAAGTAGGAAACTTTGTTTCCTTTGCTCCTGCATTTCTCAGAGGCGCGCTCACGACGCATACGGCCTACGTCATCTGCCTGAATATCTTCCACGGACCACAGTCAGCGGAAGTGAGAAAAAAGTGTTTATTACGTTTGAAATATGGATATTTATCTTACAAAAATGCATGGATTCGCTACAGGAGGCCTTTATTCACCCCCCGGAGACGTGTGAGGGACGTTTTATTACGGATGCGTGCACTTTATTTCACGTCTTCTGAACTGTTGCCAACCAAAACCCACTTACCCCCATTGAAAGGCTTGGAGGGGCCAGGACAATTTTTAATATAACTCCGATTGGATTCGTCTGAAAGAAGAAAGTCACATACACCTAGGATGCTTTGAGGGTGAGTAAAACACAGGCTAATTTTCATTTTTGGGTGAACTAACCCTTTAAGCCATTCAAGTGCAAGACAGCGTGAAAGAGATTTAAATGCGGTAGTCGCAGGCTGTGATAGATTGTTTCTGTGCGCACACACGCTAAAAGCCGCAGCTCGGACAGCATGCGAGTGACAAATTGAGTTGTCTTTCGCATCTTCTTGAGCAAATGCACACAAAATTATATCAGAATGGCTGTTTCGATGGGTATCCACGTAAACACGTATTGTTTCTGACCCGCCCTTCACCCCAAACCAGCAGGATCACGACTTCTTCCACCTGTAATGGTAGAACTGCTCGGTCCCCTTGCTGTATCGGCTCAAATGCATAAGCAACTGGACTTATTTTGAGCTCAGCAGTCCTTTTAAGTGTGTCTATATATTTTTTTTATTAAAGTGGAAATCAGTTTACTAAATAAGGGGGGAAGCACCTCTCAAGCATTTAGACCATGTATGAAATAAAGGGATTCCCAAACGTTTTTTGTCAGCCATATGCTTTAGACATGAAATATTTACTTGAAATATTTCGTAATATTTCAACAACTTAACACATTCACATGTTTACAGTTTGATGTCGCTCAATGGTCACATTAACATGCAGGTAAACAAATTAAATATTTCTATGTTTAGTGTCCAAGTGTTTAAATAATTTAATTTACATTATATATATATATATATATATATATA